GTTTTGATGCTATATAGGGTTTTTACTCGTATGCTTGATGGCTCTGTATTAGTTTGTGTTGGTTGACGAGTTAATATTTCGGCGCTGCATGTTTATGTGTTTGTGTCTAGTTCGTGCTTAGGTGTTTTATTTCTTTATCAGTTGGTTCGTATTTTGGACATGTATCGTAAGTTATTTCAGTTCGATGGTGTATTGGTGGCTAATAGTTACTTTTCTGGTGTATGATTCCATGTAGTGATACTATATAATGTTCTGGTTTTGCATTTATATATTTGTTTTCCTGGCTATTTAGTGCAATATTAGGTTGTGTTGATGCCTAATTAATGTTTTGGCTATGTATTGTTTCGTGCATTGTTCGCATATTTTTTAACGCACTAGTTTACGTGTTGCTGCCTAATGAGTCCGTATTGTTTTGTATGTTGATGGTTAGTTACTGTTTCAGTTCTCTAATATTTTTTGCTGGCTAATTATTGTTTGAGCAGTGTATTAGGCGTTGTTGGCAAGTTGGTTCAGTATTGCTTTAAGAGTTGGTAGCTTTTTAGACAGTGTTTTGGTGGCTAGTTTTCTAAAGTTTTGTGGCCATAATAGCTCGTATGTGGCAAGTCAGAGAAAGGTTGGTGTTAGACTATATTTAGATATGTTTTCTCTTTTTTTACGTGTTGATATAATATACGTTTTACCTCTATTTTTAGGTATTGTTGGCTATTTAGCGTTGTATAGGTTTATATATTCTGCATTAGTTAATGTTTCTGTCTTGTATTAATCCACATGATAACTCAGTGTTTCAGTACTGCAAGTTTTTTTTTAATGAATAGTTTCTTAATCTTTCAACGTTCCTTTATTTGTGTGATGTTGGCTAGTTGATGTTTCAGTTCTGTACCTGTGTAGATGATGGAAGCTTGTTCGTTTATAATTATGTTTATGAATAGGTGACCAGTTAAATAACCTGTCTTTGTAGGGAATGATGGCTAGTTTGTTAACATTTTGATGCTAGTTATTGTGTTCGCAAGAAGGAAGTTAATGTTTTGGTGCTGTGTTAACCTGTACGTTGGATAATTTGTTAGTATATCAGTTTATAGGTTAGCGACTTAAGTGTTAATTAATATTCAGTTAATGCTTCAGTGCTTAGTTGATTTTACATTTAAGTAACTAATATGACTGACTGAATCCCATTATGGCAAGATAATGTTTCAGTGGTTTATTAGCACATGGTGATGTCTAGTTACTTACAGTTTCTGCAGTCTTGGTCTATGTGGTGGTGGCTGGTAGATAGATAGTCTTGCGCTGTTCATATTTTGGTGTCTTGTTGATATTTGTGTGCTGTATGTTTTTTTTTTTTTTTTTTTTTTTTTTTTTTTTTTTTTTTTTTTTTTTTTTTTTTTTGTCTATGCATGTGTTACTGAATATTTTATGTTACGATGTTGTATCAGTTTACATGTTGGTGACTGCTTCACGAAGGTTTCGTTTCCAGTTTCGTTAGTGATTTTTGGCTAACGAGGTTGTTTTGGTGCTGCGTTATTTAATGTGTAGGGTAGTTTCAGTTCTGTATGAGTTTATGTATTGGCAGCTAGTTCGTGTTTCGGTTCTGTAAGTTTTTGTGTTATTGGGTAATCATTTAATGGTTCAATTTTATAGTTTCTAATCTGAAACAGGCCACACACACACACACACACACACACACATACGGTATTATTGAAAATGCAACCCCACACCTAATTTAAAGAATCTGAGCTTACCAAGTGGCAGAACACATCATTCTATGAAAGTTTTCTTCTATACCATTTTCTGCGCAAATTTATTATAACGGTTATAGAGGGTATAAAATCCACGATTTCCATGGACCCCAGTAACCTTTCATCTCCAGCGCCGCGACAAAATGACAAAAAGTCGTTAAGGGCGACAGAAAATCGGACGGATTTGTAGCGGATGACGTATGCGCGGGAAATCAAATGAGCCAATTAGATTCGTGCGTGAACGTGACGTGAACATAGACACTCAGTAGAACCAATCGAATATGGAATAGATCATCACGTGACAATAGAATATTGGCCAAGGAGAAGACATTTGAAATTCAAATCAGTTCCATCAAGGTTAGACAGTGTGTAGGTTGTGAGAACAATGATATCGATTTCATCGCAAAATATCACCGAAATAACGAAGCAAGCTTACTAAATCTACGAGATCACGGTGAAGTACGATACCTGCACTATAAGACACCGTATCATTACAGAAATGACAGACACCAGTAAGTTTGTGGTGCTTGGAAAAGGGTCCAAAATCAAAACGAAGAGATCAGTATAACTTTACTGTAATTCCCACCAACATCGGCCTGGATTACCCCGACGATCCCAGTGACCAGCAGTCTGGCCCGTCTGGAGTTAACGGTTTAAGGTAAGATGTTAAAACTGTTTTTGGGTCTAGGCTCTCTCCTACCGGAACATACGAGGTGAAGATTTTGCAGACTAGGTGGAAGGGGGTATAAGGGAGCGAAGCCACCAATATCTACTGAAGAGGTGTCTGATACCTGGTTTGCCCGGGCTCTCTCCTGCCGGAACATACAAGGTGAAGATTTTGTAGGCCACACCCTGAAAGGGTGTGTAAAGGGGCAGAGCCCCCTATACAATCCGAAAATGTGTTAGTATACTCTGCTTGCTATTATTCTTACCGATATTTCTTGAAATTCCCTGATATATAGGTCTATCATGCCCTCCCTAGCTATCGAGACCGAAATCATAGTTATGCTTCGTTTACAAAGAAATTGAGTGTTAGCTTCGTTCAAAACACGACGAAAGCCATTGGAAAATGATGCTATTCACCCAAACAACGGTGCGGGGTTGCATTTCCAAATTCCCATAGACACAAAATGCACACACACACACACACACACACACACACACACACACACACACAACACACACACACACACACACACACACACACACACACACACACACATGTATCTGTATGTGGACCTGTTGTGGTGTGTGTGTGTGTGTATATATTATATTAATATTATATATATAATATATATATAATATAATATATATATAATATATATATATATAATATATATATATATATATATATATATATATATATATATATATATATATATATATATATATATATATATATATATATATATGCTGTATTCGTCTATGTTTCGGTGGACAATTCATATTCCAGTGGTACTTGTTTGTATATTATGGGCTGGCTAGATTGGTAGTGTTTTGATGCTGCATGATTTTTTGTATTAATGGCTCCTTCGGTAATGTTATAGTTTTGTATTAGTTTATAATTATGTTAATGGCTAGTTAATATATTAATGCTGCATGGTTTCGTGATTTTTAGCTTGTTTATGTTATGGTGCTTTATTGATTTATGTGTTGGCAATTAGTTAATACTTTGGTGCTACATTCTTTTGTGTTGGTTGCCAGTTAATGTTTTGCGTATCTATTGGTTCATGTGCTTGTTGGAAAGACATTATGTTTTAATAAGTTGGTGGCTAGGTATTTGATGTTTCGGTGCTGTATTAGTATATGTACTAGTGGCTAGTTAATACGTGCTTCACGCTTGCATTAGTTTCCATATTGGTGGCTAGTTAATGCTTCGTAGATATATTAGTTTCTGTAGTGGTAGGTAGGTAGTTTATGTGTAAATTCTGTATGTTTATTTGTTGATCTGAGTTCATCTATGCGTTGGTGACTAATAATTGAATGTTTTGGTATAGTATTCATTTATGTGTAGCGAGATAATATTATAGATTCTGGAGTTGTTTATGTTTTGGTTGCTAGTTACTGTTTCAGTGTAGCTTTTGTATAATATTGACTGGTTAGATAATGTTTGGATGTTATATTAATGTGTCGTTAGTGTTTTGTTGATTTAGTTTTTTTTCCTGTCGGTGGCTAGATGTAAATATTTTGATGTTTAGTGAGTGGTGATTGCAGTAATATCTAGTTATTTTGTGGAGCTCGGTTCGTCAGTTGTACATATATTAATGGATAAATTTTATTAGCATATTTGACTAACCACGTGATTTTTTTTAAGGAATTAACCAACTAGTTAATTTAGTTTAAGCTTCTATGACAGTTTCAACAAAAAATCAAATATTATTCCCCTGGTTATGCTATTTCTAATGTTTTGACGAGTGCTTTAGTAAGTAGCTAACAGCATCAACTGTATTAAATGTCTGCCTGTAGTTGTCAATGATTCTGTAGTTGAATTTGTGTCTTTGTTGCAGTTTCACGCGTCCTGTTCGCTTTGTCCTGTGATTTGACGTTTTATTGTGTCTTTGTGTGCTATTGTTTTGCTGTTGTATGTGTACTCGTTTCATGTAGCTGTTGTCTGCATATGCCCTTGTCTGTTTATGTCGTTGGCCAGTTTGTTCCCAACTGTTGTCTCGGACATTTTTCTTATGATTTCATGAGACTGGTATTGTGTACATGTGATAACATTTAATGGGTTTGGAGTTTCTATCTGTATCAACATGCATTAACATTCAAGATAGTGTTTTCCCCTAGTTTCCCCTGTACTGCTTAATTGTGCAGTTTTGTGTTGCCTTGTAAACATTTATTGTTCTGATATTCTTGTTTATTAAATGTAGATATAGAGTTACGAAAATTTGTTATGTGATATTTCTTTCATATGTTACTATATGCTTTCATGTTTTTGTATTGGCTTGTGCTGTAATTATGGTGTTATCAAATTAGTGTTATACTGTATTGAGAAATGTAGCTATATTGTATATGATAGTACAGTGGTTCTTAAACTGTTTTGATCTTTCCGGTTAGCAAAGAATTCTGCATTAGCAAATTTGTACACGAAAGGGAATAAACAAAAATATTTCAAAAATGCATAATTTTTCCACCTTCCTGGTACTTGCTTAAGAACCACTGTCGTAATGCCTTCTCATGAAGTTGCGTATGTGAGATAAAGATGGATTATTGTAGTGTCACGATTTACTGGTAAACTGTGTTGTTAAATTAATATGAAACAAAGTA